GGGGTTTTGAAGGGAGGGTTTTGGAAGGTGGGGTTACGTGGAGGCTGGGAAGGGGTGGGTGGGCACATGGGGTTGGGGTTGCAAAGCGGAGTTGAGGAGAGATGTTGGGGTGGATTAATGCTCGGGGCAGATCACAGAACAGATCTGGGATCTGGGAAGTGTGACAAATAATGAGTCTCCGCATATCCCCCAAAAGGACCCTGTCCAACGTTCTTGTGAGGAGTGGATGGACCCATGACATTGTTGTCATGTCATCATACTTGGCTCACTCTTTGAGTTTGGAGTTCGAAGTTCGAACTCATAGCTGGTGTATTGACTGTTATGGGCATGTGTCAATTGAGTATCGAATGTATATCGGTCGTCTCATCCAACTAATCCTACCCCTTAAGCAGCATTGGCCGCAGGGGGGAGGTCGATGGTCCGCCGAAATTGGGTCGAAGTTTCGGTGCGGGCCGGCGGATGAAGGCGATTGAGGGCGGGTGGGCGTGCAGAGTGGCGCGCGTACCGAATTTTTCACAGCGCGCCACTAAACGAGAGAGCGTGCCACTAAACGAGAGGGCGCGCCCACGGGGCCGCATGGGCCGGGTAGACGGCGGGCGTCAATGTGGATGAATATCTCGACGCGCCCGCCGTCGATAACCGGGCAAGGCAGATTTTTTTTTCTTTCTTTTTTTCGGTCGCAGTTTTGTCCTTTCCCACTGCCACAGCCTTTTTTTTCCCTTTTGTTTTTGTCGTTTCCCGCTGCCGCGACCTTCTTTTTTTCTTTTCTTTTCGTCGTTTCCCGTTTTCGCGGGCTTATTTTTTTTTTTCCTTTCGTTTTCGTTGCGGGTTTTTCTTTTTTTTGTTGGAAACGAAGCGTTCGTCGTTCCCCTTCCTCTCAGTTCCGTCACTTTCGGCAAAAGGCATGGGGGCGGGTGCACGCACCTGCCTCCCGCCCGCTCGGCCCCCCCAACACACAGCTGCCTGCCAGCCAGCCAACCAGCCACCCGCCGGCCTGCCTGCCTGCCTGCCACCCACCCACCCATACAGCTGCCTGCCAGCCAGCCAGCCAGTCACCTGCCCGCCTGCCTGCCTGCCACCCACACACCCACACACCCACACACCCACACACCCACACACCCACACCAATATTATAATTAACAAGGGGGCCCTCCGCGGCCGGAAGGTGTGGAGAAAAAGGACCCAATAAAAACGGAAATGGCACATCATTGGCCGTTGCCCCTTTTTTTTACAAAAAAAAAGAAAAAAAAGAAAAACGAAACCGAAAAACACAATTGCGAAACCCCAACTCTCCAGGCGTACCGACCCCCGACGGCGACTTTTCTTCCCCGTCCCCGACTCCCCACCTCCCCTATCCCGACCGTCCTCCAATTCGGACTGCATCCCAACTCCCCATCCCAACTTC